GAGTAGAGAGGGAATTTCCTTAGATTCCTGTCTTATTCCTCTATCTCTGCTTCTTGGTCGATGTAATTCCTTGTCTAAGTGGTCACTTCTTCTCTCCCCTCCCTTCTCTTCTAGAAAGTTAAATGTGAGGTTTTACAACCCTTTGGACCTTATCCCACGGGGCCAAAAGCAGCAAGAATCCACATGGAATCAGGCGCTATAGCGCTATAGTTTTCCGGGTGATCCCACGACGTCGCTCAGAATCGGCTAAGAATCAGGCGCTATAGCGCTATAGTTTTCCGGGTGATCCCATGACGTCGCTCAGAATCCGCTAAGAATCAGGCGCTATAGCGCTATAGTTTTCCGGGTGATCCCACGACATCGCTCAGAATCCAACAAGAAACCGCTCGGAATGCAGCATCATTCGGGTTCTTTTGAATGCCCGGTGTCAGCGGGCATTGCAATAGCGCTACCTTATCCATAGCGCTATTATAGCGCTAGCGCCATATTATACTAGCGCTATAGTACTGCAATGATGCTCATATCGCTTTCTTGCCACTTTTGAGAGCAGCGTGGGATAAGGTCCTTTGTCTTCTCTCTTTCTGTCTCTTTCTCCATGAAGGACACCACCACACTGCTCTTGCCTCTGGATGGCTACCCCAACCACCTTTGTGAATAGGAGTCAGCTTTATGGACTCTTCTACAAGTATAGGGTCCCTCCTTTTGACTATCTACTTTCCTATCTTAGACGGTTTACTTTGTAACAATAAAATAAAGGCCTTTGCAGACTGCCAGAAATAGTGCACATTAAATTGAGGCACTGCCCTGGCACAGTGCTAGGGAATCATGGGAACTGTATTTTATTATGGCACCAGAGCTCTCTGACAGAGAAGGCTTAATGTCTCAAAAAAATACAATTCCCATGATTCACTAGCACTGAGCCAGGGCAGTGCTTCAATTTAATGTGCATTATTTCTGGCAGTCTGCAAAGGCCCTAAGTCTTGTTTTTTAATCCAGGGCATCCTGTTTTATACCAGAAGCTCACAATTCACTGGGGCACGCTGCACAATCTGCATAATTAAACATCAATAATTTCCTACAGTGGTTTCATCTAAGACAGTGGTTCTCAGACTCTTATTACTCTTGTGATCCCTTGTACATCTACATGCAGATGTCATGCCCACTTGACATAGTATATGAATAAATTTTGTTTGTTTAGTGTGTGTATTTTTGTTCACACATTCATGTATATCCCTATTTTAAAATTTTATAAGAAATAGTTCTCCTCCTTCTCCCCCACTGGCAAAGGCTCCAAGCACCTTCATTGACTTTCTCTTCTTCTCCAGGAAAATAAAAGTTTGGACAGAGGGGTAATAGAATGAGGGATCAGGGCTTCCCAATCTTGCACCCCCTCTTGAGCAACTCTTGCAACAGGGGGTCCCAACCCATTGTTTGAGAACCATTGAACTAAGCTCTTCCCGTTTTTGAACTCTCAAGGCATGACTGTTTGAGAACCCATGAAGGATGCAAACTTACATATCCTTACTCAGATTGCTGGTGGCTTTCATATCAGTGGGGTGATGAATCTGCTCTATGCTTTGGTGCAAACTTTAAAAGAAATATCAAAGATCTTGAACCTATATGGAGGATTGTCCTTCCAAGGTTTGGAATAAAACCAGGGGTGAATTTACTGCCCTTATGACATGGAAGCCACAAATTGCCTCTGGCATAAGTCCCACTGAACTCTGCAGGACTTGAATTGTGAAACTTTCTGCTCATTCATAACACATTGGTTTTGTTCAAAGATATAGCAATGTTAGTCTGTGGAATCAGTATGTAGAGAGATCTTGTAGCACCTTTGAGACTAACTGAAAGCTCATACTGCCAACTTCTTTCTTTCAGTTAGTCTCAAAGGTGCTACAAGATCTCTCTACCTTGGTTTTGTAGCAGCCTTGTACTCTTTCATTTCTTTTGAAGACAAGCATGTTAAGTTGTACAACCAACACACTTTAAAAAAGGGGGTGGGATGAGCTTTCTTTTCTTGCTTTGCTGCTGATCTCACTACTGCAGCTCAACTTTATATACTTAATCGCAGCTGTCTAGAAGTCACTTCCTACATTTTTTTCCATCCAAATAGCCAACTACAGCATGAGAGTCCATTACTTCCCTGAGGGTTGCAGGTACTGGTATAATTTAAGCTAATATCCAGTAGCTTCCAGGTAAGGAAAGATGGCATGCTTGTTGGTCACACATACACATTAAGTGACTACATAATGCATCCCACTTTCCACATGCAGGATTATATTTAGTGACGTCACTTCAACAGTTCTTCTCAACTATTGTTGCATAGTGGGACTGTTCTCCAGATTTGTAGACCTAATGCTGCTGAACATGTTCAAGCATAAATAGAGCATGTAAGTAGCAACCAAAGCTTTGTGTCTATTTCTTGTCCATAAGAAATAGACACATAATTAATGTAGGGGGCACAGGCATTGACTCATATAATAACACATTATATAACACCTAAAAGGGATTAAAACTAGTGGAGGAGGAAAGAACAATATCAATAAGTATGACTACTACTAGTAGCCTGTTAACTTATTTTGACCTTCATGAATTTAATTGGGCTTTCTTAGTAATAAATACTCAGAGGTTGTTTGCCATTGGATGACTGTTGCTTAAATCCAATTGCTCATCCCAGCTATAGCACATCAACTGAATGTATTGCTAAATGGTAAGTCAATATTTGAAACATCCTCTAACAAATCTCACCAAGAAAAACCCATGATAGGGTCACCTTAGGGTTGCCATAAATTGGAAATGACTTGAAGGCACACAACAATAAATTCAATATTTATGTAAATCCCATTGATTTAATAGATCTACTTTAATTGGGATTAATAACTGGATTTAGACCAGTGCTGTAAATCAATGTTAGAAAATCACTCTAGGGCTGGGAAGTAATCTATTTGGTTGGCTCAGTTGTTAGAGCAGGCTACAAAGCTACAAAACAAATAAACCCTGACAAATGTTTCCTCTCCTTTCATTGCCCTAATCCTGTTCATATCATCCATTACAAAGAGCTTCCTTCACAAGCTAGCAGAGATACAAGTTAAGTAATCCTATTATATGAGAAATGTAGGTGCGTGTGACAATGCAAAGCAAATGCAAATCTGTCTACAACTGAAAATGAAATGGAACTCAGAAATCTAAAAAGCATGTGTCCCACAGTGTGATCTTCAGAAGTAGCAGTATGATATGTGTCCTTTTATTTCCACCTGTCTTCTGGATCTACTGGTATTTTCTGTGGATATTTTCTGTTTCTGAAACTGGTACACTCACTTTAATTCTGGCTCCTACATCAATGAGTAGCCACTGAGTGGATCTCAGTAAAGACGAATTGCAGGGGAAGACAAAGGGTGGTTCATGCAGAACCTGTGAAGTTGTCATGAGAAGAGAGAATAATTACTTAGGACTTAATACTCTTATACATAGCATTAATTATAGAGAATATCACATGCACAGAATATTTTCAGGAAGTGTATTTGGGAATGTTGTCTATCCCAAGCCAGAATTTGTTTCTATATATCTATTGGATGCCACAAATGCAGGTGGGATGTGGACAGCATGCAGCTTACAAATATACAAATCAGACATATTAACTGCATTGTAATTGCATATAACATATAGATTTAAAAACACAGAAATAACATCATCTCTGGGTAGATATGGCTATATGGATTCCAGCAGGTTTGGAGGAGGGAAATCTCTCTTCTGAAGAAAAGTTTTTATGCAGGGGTGGGGATCCCAAAGTCATCAGCAGCTTCAGAAGAAGAACCTTCTTAGGACTTTAGTATGGCAGAATTGTTAAATCTGTCCCTCCATGCTCATTCTCTTCCCATCAACTATCAGTTCCTTCCAACTCAATTTGCATTTTTTTTTAAAAAAAAAAATCTACTGGTAAGATTTTTAATACACTGGCTGAAATTTAAAACCATGCTACTGTATCTCACTTTAACTCAGCCCACAAGGGTAGATTTGTTTGTTTTCACATCAGTGTTTTTCTTGTAGTGAGATGACTCCAAGATAGGAAGTGTGAAGTTTATGTTTGGCCTTCTAGGACTAAAATCAATTGCTGGAATAGCAATTCCCGACTGGAATATATTCACGGAATCAGTGGTATGAATTTAATTGCTGCCTTATGATGCTACAGTTGAATCTATGGGCTTACTCTTGTTGGGATTAGCAATTACATTTAGGCCTGTCTTTAGATCAGGAGCAGGAACAATGAGGTCCTCTAAATCAGTGCTTCCCAATCAATCTGATGTGTGGGTTTGGCTTAATTTTTTTGCAGGCACCTGTACCATAATTGTGCCAGTTGCTTAACATTCTTTCTTCCCTAGAATCTTACTAGGGATT